ATGCCAAACTCACTGTGTAATTGTTCATGTGAACACAACCTTACACGAAGTGTAATATTATAGTGTTTGATGAAAACGTACTTGAATATATCTTTTCAAAGTGATTTTTCTCTTCTTATTTACCCGTTTGAGAGTCCACCGTCTCGCTGTCAGGTTGTTAGTTAATTAATGAGTGTACAAATCGGACCGAGACGTCGTCGTTCTCTCCTGTGTGTGGGTTAGTTGTGTATTGTTCCAGTCACAGTATTGTTCCAGTCACAGTATTGTTCCAGTCACAGTATTGTTCCAGTCACAGTATTGTTCCAGTCACAGTATTGTGCCTTTTTGTTCTTTAATCAGACACTGACATAGTAGTGACTCTCGTGAGAATCACCCGATGAGAAGTTCGATTTTAACACCGACTCCTGATCCTCGGCTCCTCAGTCAGAAATCGGTATCACTAACATCGACTTTCATGCATAAACTGACGCCTCTTGACGCCAGCAATGAGCGGAGGATCAGTAAAATAAAGAACTCACCACACAGATCTCCAGTATCAACTAAATAGTAAGATAAAGCTCCTGGAGAGCGAAACGTTGTCACAATAAAATGTTACACGACAAGCACTGTATACGACAAGCACTGTACACGACAAGCACTGTACACGACAAGCACTGTACACGACAAGCACTGTACACGACAAGCACTGTACACGACAAGCACTGTATACGACAAGCACTGTATACGACAAGCACTGTACACGACAAGCACTGTATACGACAAGCACTGTACACGACAAGCACTGTACACGACAAGCACTGTACACGACAAGCACTGTACACGACAAGCACTGTACACGACAAGCACTGTACACGACAAGCACTGTACACGACAAGCACTGTACACGACAAGCACTGTATACGACAAGCACTGTACACGACAAGCACTGTACACGACAAGCACTGTACACGACAAGCACTGTACACGACAAGCACTATACACGGAGGAGAAATATAACTATCTGTCAAGATTATAAGTTAGGTCATATACGATTTACCTAGTCAATAAATTTTGGTAATTTTACATGAAATAAAATTTTAATTGTTTGTCCACAACAAAAAATAACAATGGTCAACAAAAATCACCAGAGATAGTTAACTGTTGGTGTACTAAATAGATATCTTGTCGCCGGTTCCAAAACTACTCTCGTTTTTTTTTTTTTTTTTTTTTTTTTTTTGCACATCTTCCACAGTCATAACTTCTGGGAGAGCTGTGGCGAGGACTGCACTCAGCAAAGACAGCAAACAAACTGCGCAGAGAACAAACAAAACAGTGCGTAAAGCAAAACGAACTGTTATGAAAGCAAACACAGTACGCGGAGAGCAAACAAACGGTGCTGAGATCAAACACGAGACGAAGAAAGAAACAAATGTGAAGAGAGCAAACGGCAAAGAAAGCAAACAAACACTGCTAAGAGGAAACAAACTCCCCGGGACGCTTAAGACTGCTTAGGAAACCTGTTTGTTCTGTTAGGAAGACACTTGTTTGAAAGGTAACCAGGAGACTCTGGAAGATACCCAGGAGACTGCATGATACCCAGGAGACTCTGGAAGATACCCAGGAAACTCTAGAAGATACCTAGGAGACTCTAGAAGATCCCCAGGACACTCTGGAAGATACCCAAGAGACTCTGGAAGATACCCAAGAGACTCTGAAAGATACCCAGTAGACTCTGGAAGATACCCAGGAGACTCTGGAAGATACCCAGGACACTCTGGAAGATATCCAGGACACTCTGGAAGATGCCCAGGAGACGCTAGAAGATATCCAGGAGACTCTGGAAGATACCCAGGAGATTCTGAAACATACTCAGGAGACTCTGGAACATACCCAGGAAACTCTAGAAGATATCCAGGAGTCTCTGGAAGATACCCAGGAGACTCTGGAAGATACCCAGGAGACTCTGGAAGATACCCAGGAGACTCTGGAAAATACACAGGATACCCTGGAAGATATCCAGGAGACTCTGGAAGATTCCCAGGAGACTCTGGAAGATATCCAGGAGACTGGAATGTACCCAGGAGACTCTGGAAGGTACCCAGGATACTCTGGAAGATACCCAGCAGACTCTGGGAGATACCCAGGAGACTCTGGAAAATACACAGGATACTCTGGAAGGTACCCAGGAGACTCTGGAAGATACCCAAGAGACTCTGGAAGATACCCAGGAGACTCTGGAAGATACCCAGGAGACTCTGGAAGATACCCAAGAGACTCTGGAAGATACCCAGGATACTCTGGAAAGTACCCAGGAGACTCTGGAAGGTACCCAGGAGACACTGGAAGGTACTCAGGAGACTGCAAAGTACCCAGGAGACTCTGGAAGATACCCATGACATTCTGGAAGATACCCAGGAGAGACTGGAAGGTACCCAGGAGTCTCTGGAAGGTACCCAGAAGACTCTGGAAGGTACCCAGAAGACTGGCCTCCGAGTATACCTGTATTTTACTCATCAAGTTGAACTACCATACTAGTCTCACCCGAGAGTTTTAACCTACCTGGGCTGTGCCAAGTTCGTCTCTCTGGAACTATGGTAGCGAACTTGATTACCATCAGTAAATAAGAAAGCCACAGTAACAAGACTGGAACAGTTCACGAGATGTTAGAGTCTTCTTTAAGCTGCACGTCGTATGGCTTCATGGCTAATTTGTGGTTTTGATGTGAATTATTGCCAGTACTTCGTACTATCCTAGTACAGCTTAAATGATCACCTAGAAAACCTCTTAGTCCTCCAGTAATCTTCTGAGCTTTATTAAGTTCACCACTCCAGTAATAGCCTACTTCTTCAATATTTCTTAATAAATGTGGTTGTTTTTCTTGATAAACTTGAAACACGATGCCTCCCTCTCACTACCACGAGTCAACAACCTCGCCTCTTAGCCGGCTCCAACATGAGCTCGGGTGAGAGAGGGTAATAAAGAAGATACCATCACCCTTAGTGGCACCCGCCCACCCACAGGTGCAATTACACACCCGGTGGGGGAGGGAGACAGTGGTGAGTCTGGCAAGAGTGAGTAATGATACTTAGACGATAAGAAGTGATGATGAGAGGGGGGCCATTACTCATCTCCCATCCCCTCTGTGACTGGACTGATGCTGCTGCTGCCTCGCAGCGCTAGAGCCAAGACACACTGCCTTTTGTTATTTCTATATTATTTAAACGTCTTCCTTTACCTGTGCATTTATTTCTAATTTGTGAATAATTCTGTGTTGGAGCATCTGATCAGTACCTTTCCTGTAGTCCAATATAATGCAGACACCTTTGTTTATCTTCTTCTCTACAAGTTTCGTAAGGTAGAATTTTGTAGCAGTTTGCTGCATACTGACTTTATGTAAGGATTCTCCTTCCTCTGATTCTGCTAGTTTTTTTCCAGCATTTTAGCCATACAAGATAGTTACATCGTTCCTCGATATATATATATATATATATATATATATATATATATATATATATATATATATATATATATATATATATATATATATATATATATATATATATATATATATATATATATATATAACTGATCAATTTAAAACTTTGTTCTTTCTAAAATTTTCTCTTATATGTTTAAAGATTTTTTTCATTTATGTTAAATTAAAAATTAATAAATTTTGCACCAAAAGAACCTTAGAAAACTTACCTAACCTTATTATAACAAGCGCAATTTAATTTAGCTTAATCCAGCTAAATATATTTTAGATAAGTTTACAATAATTTAATAATAAAGAAGCACATTGAAATATATTTTTTTCGTTAGGTTCAGAACGATTTTTGCGAAATTATTGCATGTATAAATTTTCACTTGCCTTATTCGGCAAGAAGAGCGTTGCTATTTAAGCCAAAATCGCAAGTTTTACATATTCGGCACGACATATGTGTGTGTGTGTACTCATCTAATTGTACTCACCTAATTGTGGTTGCAGGGGTCGAGACTCAGCTCCTGGCCCCGCCTCTTTACCGACCGCTACTAGGTCCTCTCTCCCTCTACTCCATGAGCTTTATCATACCTCGTCTTAAAACTATGTATAGTTCCTGCCTCCACTACATCGCTTGCCAGACTATTCCACTTCCTAACTACTCTATGACTGAAGAAATACTTCCTAACATCCCTTTGACTCATCTGAGTCTTCATCTTCCAATTGTGACCCCTTGTTTCTGTGTCCCATCTCTGGAACATCCTGTCTCTGTCCACCTTGTCTATTCCACGCAGTATTTTGTATGTCGTTATCATGTCTCACCTGACCCTCCTGTCCTCCAGTGTTGTCAGACCGATTTCCCTTAACCTTTCTTCATAGGACATTCCCCTTAGTTCTGGAACTAGCCTTGTTGCAAACCTTTGCACTTTCTCTAATTTCTTGACGTGTTTGTTTGTGTGTGTGTGTGTGTGTGTGTGTGTGTGTGTGTGTGTGTGTGTGTGTGTGTGTGTGTGTGTGTGTGTGTGTGTGTGTTTACTTAGTTGTCCAAGGAAGTTAATCACTAGTTCGTGAGCTCTGCCTTTGCTCCTCGAGTAATTGGTTTGTATTATTCAGTAAGTTTGTGTACAGAGTTGGCCTCCGCTCCCTCCCTCCCTGACAGTATCATTATCTCATCTACTCACATTAAAAGTGTTTCTATGGCTCAATTGATCTTCATATTTTGAGGTCCTCTTTCATATCCGTTTCAAGAAAGGTTTGTATATACTCGCCTAATTAATCTAATCATGGAACGTTTGCGGAAGTTGGGCTCTAGCTTTTGGGCACCCCCTTTGAAGTTCATTTAGCTGTGAGTTTCGACTAAGCTTTATCAAAATCCTCATATAATGAGTAGGCCTCCATTGTACGCCTTCTTAATGTTTTCTGTAGTACTCCATTTAGTTTTTTGGGTTCCCATTCATGTATTCTTTCTTCGGACAGGAGCTGCAGTTTCATACCCTACTTTATTCCAGTAATGTACATGTCCTCTCTGAACTTCTCTTACCTCAATAAACAGGGCAAGAATTCTTCACTTCAGAGTCAGTTTGGTGCAGATCTGTAAGCAGAAAAACTCACGTTATTAAATTATCAATTTACCAGAACTTTCATGAACTAATTACATTCTATGTGATACTGATCGTGAAATTCACAAGCATGAATAATGTGCTGCTCACATAATTACAAATATGACAGCGGTAGGTACGCGTTACATAAGAAAATTATTTTCCTAAAAAGTAATACTTAACTGACTATACACGTTTCGGGACAGTAGTAGGAGGCAGACGATAAATAATAAGAAAAACGCAAAATATGTTTTCGTTTGAGCACCTGACTTCATTATTGATGTAAGTGTGTAACATCGCAAAGCTAAATGTTTTGATGTTTTGATGGTAGACGGAGAAAAAGACATGCCTTCCGTTGAATATTACTGAAGACAGTGGACCAGAGTCCCTCCAACACTGTGTGTTGGTGGGAGCACTGGACCCAAGAGTCCCTCCAACACTGTGTTGGTGGGAGCAGGACCCAAGAGTCTCTCCAACACTGTGTGTTGGTGGGAGCACTGGACCCAAGAGTCTCTCCAACACTGTGTGTTGGTGGGAGCACTGGACCCAAGAGTCTCTCCAACACTGTGTGTTGGTGGGAGCACTGGACCCAAGAGTCTCTCCAACACTGTGTGTTGGTGGGAGCACTGGACCCAAGAGTCCCTCCAACACTGTGTGTTGGTGGGAGAACTGGACCCAAGAGTCCCTCCAACACTGTGTGTTGGTGGGAGCACTGGACCCAAGAGTCCCTCCAACACTGTGTGTTGGTGGGAGAACTGGACCCAAGAGTCCCTCCAACACTGTGTGTTGGTGGGACCACTGGACCCAAGAGTCCCTCCAACACTAACATAACAGCTGGTAGTGTTATTTTACCAGCTGATAACATAACTACTGGAATGTAAATTTACCACCTGAGAATATAACAGCTGGTATGTTACATTACCATCTGAGAACATAACAGTTGCTATGGTTTAGCTTTATATCTGAATCTTCCGCGTTCGCAGAACTTCCAGGGTTGTGTGTGAGAGTAGTAGCAACTCCTGCAGAAGGTACCACAGGTTGTCTGAGGATCTCACCTTCAAGGATCACAACAATGCCACTCTGATATCTCCGAGAAAACTGATAGGATGGATAATGAGAACATTCAAGACAAGACATGCCAAGCCAATGATGATCCTTTTTAAATCACTTGTTCACTCTAGGCTGGAATACTGCTGTACATTAACTTCCCTATTCAAGGCAGGTGAAATGTAGAGAGAACCTTTACTGCACATATCAGTTCTATGAAACACCTTAACTAATGGGAAAGCTTGGAAGCACTTGACTTGTACTCATTGGAGCGAAGACGAGAGAGATACATCATAATATACACCTGGAAGATCCTGGAGGAACTGGTCCTTAATCTACAGACAAAAATCACTCCCTACGAGAGCGAAAGACTTGGCAGGCGATGCAGCATATCCACAGTGAAAAGTAGGGTTACCATCAGTACACTAAGAAAAAACACAATAAGTGTCCGGGGCCCAAGATTGTTCAACAGCCTCCCACCAGCCATAAGGGGAATTACCAATAGACCCCTGGCTGTCTTCAAGAGGGAGTTGGACTAACAAAGGTCAACGCTCACTAACAAAATCCAACACCCATTAACTAAGTTCAACGCCCACTAACAAAGTTCAACGCCCACTAACAAAGTTCAACACCCACTAACAAAGTCCAACACCCACTAACAAAGTTCAACGCCCACTAACAAAGTTCAACGCCCACTAACAAAGTTCAACGCCCACTAACAAAGTTCAACGCCCATTAACAAAGTTCAACACCCACTAACAAAGTTCAAGCAAACGTTAACCCACTAACAAAGTTCAACGCCCACTAACAAAGTTCAACGCCCATTAACAAAGTTCAACACCCACTAACAAAGTTCAACGCCCACTAACAAAGTTCAACACCCACTAACAAAGTTGAAGACAGTGGTGGTGGGAACATTACAAGCAACATTTACTGCAACATGGGTCACGTTATTCTCTTCCTCATTCCTGTCATTCCAGGACTGGTGCAGCCTGCAAGTTGACCTTGTGGAATGTTCTCGGGGCAGAAGCTGGAGGATGAGTGGGTGGGCCGCCCCAGGGTGGGTGGGTGGCCCGCCCGGCCGCCCCAGGGTGGTCATGACGAACACTCCTCTCATCACCTGCCCCGCCCTCTCTGCCCAGGGCACTATTTTTTGTTGTGTGTGTGTGTGTGTGTGTGTGTGTGTGCTCACCTAATTGTGGTTGCAGGGGTCGAGACTCAGCTCCTGGCCCTGTGTGTGTGTGCGTGTGTGTGTGTGTGTGTGTGTGTGTGTGTGTGTGTGAGTGTGTGTGTGTGTGTGTGTGTGTGTGTGTGTGTGTGTGTGTGTGTGTGTGTGTGTGTGTGCGTGTGTGTGTGTGTGTGTGTGTGTACTCACCTAATTCACCTAATTGTGGTTGCAGGGGTCGAGACTCAGCTCCTGGCCCCGCCTCTTCACTGATCGCTACTGGATCCTCTCTCTCTCTGCTTCCTGAGCTTTGTCATACCTCTTCTTAAAACTATGTATGGTTCCTGCCTCCACTACTTCACTTGCTAGGCTATTCCACTTGCTGACAACTCTATGACTGAAGAAATACTTCCTAACGTCCCTGTGACTCGTCTGAGTCTTCAGCTTCCAGTTGTGACCCCTTGTCCCTGTGTCCCCTCTCTGGAACATCCTATCTCTGTCCACCTTGTCTATTCCCCGCAGTATCTTGTATGTCGTTATCATGTCTCCCCTGACCCTTCTGTCCTCCAATGTCGTCAGTCCGATTTCCCTTAACCTTTCCTCGTACGACATTCCCTTGAGCTCTGGGACTAGCCTTGTTGCAAACCTTTGTACTTTCTCTAACTTCTTGACGTGCTTGACCAGGTGTGGGTTCCAGACTGGTGCTGCATACTCCAGTATGGGCCTAACATACACAGTGTACAGTGTCTTGAACGATTCCTTATTAAGGTATCGGAACGCTATTCTCAGGTTTGCCAGGCGCCCGTATGCTGCAGCGGTTATTTGGTTGATGTGTGCCTCCGGTGATGTGCTCGGTGTTATGGGCACCCCAAGGTCTTTCTCCCTGAGTGAGGTCTGTAGTCTTTGTCCACCTAGCCTATACTCTGTCTGCGGTCTTCTTTGCCCCTCCCCAATCTTCATGACTGCATTTGGCTGGATTGAATTCGAGAAGCAGTTTCTGACCACATGTCCGCCTGTCCAGGTCTCTTTGCGTCCTGCCCCATCCTCGTCCAAATTTTAAATTTTCTCATCAACTTCACGTCACGCGAACAGGGGCACTTCAGGTCTATTCCTTCCATTTTGTTTACATATACAAAAAAAAGCAGGTCCAGAACGACCCTGGGGACCCCCCCCGTAAAAGGGGGCCCCTGTGATACCTCTTCACGTCCATTCCCTTTTCTGCCTCCCTGTCAGGTTTTCCCTTATCCATTGCAGTGCCCCCCTTTTACGTGCGCCTGTCCTCCACTTCTGCCTAATCTTTGTGGGGGGAAATGTTCAAAGGCCTTCCTGCAGTGTGTGGGGTGTGTGCGTGTGCGTGTTTTTGTGTGTGGTGTGTGTGTGTGTGTTGTGGTGTGTGGTGTGTGGTGTGTGTGTGTGTGTGTGTTGGTACTCACCTAGTTGTCTCACCTAGTTGAGGTTTTCGGGGCGAGTCCGAGCTCCTGGGCCCCCCCCTTCACTGATTGCTACTAGGGGCACTTCCCTGAGCCTGACTTTATTCATACCTCTCTTAAACATGTAGGATCCCGACTCCACTCATCGCTTCCCAAACTTTCCCCCTTACGATACCTTTTGGGTGAAGAAATACTTTCCCAACATCCCTGTGATTCACTGTGCCTTTCAGCTTCCAACTGTTCCCCCTTTTTACTGTGTCCCCAAACTCTGGGAAAATCCTTCTTTTCCACCTTGTCAATTCCTCTCATATTTGTATGTCGTTATCATGTCCCCCCCTCTCCCCCATTCGTCAGGTTGATTTCCCTTAACCTCCCCGTAGGAAAATAAATCTTAACTTGGGGTAGTCTTTTTGCAAACCCTTTGCCCTTCTCTAGTTTTTTTCACGTGCTTGGGTGGGGGGGGTTCAAAATGATGCCGCATACCCCAAAATGGGCCAACGTACACGGGGTACAGGGGCCTGAAAGATTTCCCTTTTTAAGATGTCGGAATGCTGTTCTGAGGTTTGCTAACCCCCATGTTGTGTGTGTGTTGTGTGTGTGTGTGTTGTACTCACCTATTTTGTACTCACCTAGTTGAGGTTGCGGGGGTCGACCAAGCTCCTGGCTCCGCCTCTTCACTGGTCGCTACTGGGTCACTCTCCCTGAACCATGAGCTTTATCGTACCTCTGCTTAAAGCTATGTATGGATCCTGACTCCACTACATCGCTTCCCAAACTATTTCCACTTACTAAATACTCTGTGGCTGAAGAAATACTTCCAAACATCCCTTTGATTCATCTGTGTCTTCAACTTCCAACTGTGTCCCCTTGTTACTGTGTCCAGTCTCTGGAACATCCTGTCTTTGTCCACCTTTCAATTCCTCTCAGTATTTTGTAAGTCGTTTTTCATGTCCCCCTATCTCTCCTGTCCTCCAGTGTCGCCCAGGTTGATTTCCCTTATAACCTCTCCTCATAGGACATACCTCTTAGCTTGGGACTAGTCTTGTTGCAAACCTTTGCACTTTCTCTATTTTTCTTTACATGCTTGGCTAGGTGGGTTCCAAACTGGTGCCGCATACTCCAATATGGGGCCTGACGTACACGGTGTATAGGGTCCTGAACGATTCCTTATTAAGATGTCGGAATGCTGTTCTGAGGTTTGCCAGGCGCCCATATGCTGCAGCAGTTATTTGTTGATGTGCGCTTCAGGAGATTGTGCCTGGTGTTATACTCACCCCAAGATCTTTTTCCTTGAGTGATGTTTGTAGTCTCTGACCCCCTAGACTGTACTCCATCTGCGGTCTTCTTTGCC